GGAGTTACTAGAGTTCCCCGCGCAGCCTCCAGTTGCGCTTGTTTTCTAGCACGCTCTGACTTGCGCTTGTTGTATCCGTTGTCGGGAATTGCGCTTGTTATTTTCGGAGCCAACGACAACGAAACTATACACTCTAAAATTTTTACAAGAAAATTTGCCGAGTACCCACTAAAAAATTGTGCTGTTGTTATCGAGAAGATTTTCACTGGTACAGTTCCTAGAACCGTTGTTGTTATTCTAGGAAAACGTTTAAGTTACACTAGGAAATTTCTTTTAGTAATGCTAGCTCTTAGAAATAAGCTAACTGGAAAAACAAAGGTAGGAATCAACGCCCTTCTTTGGCTGTTTGATGACTTTAGTCACTCTAAAGAGGTACTAAACGATTTGCACCTCTGAAAAGGCACTAAAATACCCCAAAGGTGTTCAATTTTAGTGCATATGCTGCTGGACACTGGTTCCTTTCTAGAGGCAATACAATTTAGCACCTTTAAAAGGCACTAAGTCCTACTTTTTTCCCGCGAGTAATAATATCGATTGAACGGACGTGCTGACGTGCGCCCCTTCCCAAAGACTGTACGTGGGCCAAATGGTTTCCACCGGCCTTGTTGACAAATGAGAAACAAATAATTACAAATTTAAAAATTGTTATTGTTATTCCTGTCAGCTTAGCAACATGTGGACACGCGTGCGCCGGTGCTGCCTATAGGCGGAAGCCACTTTTGTTACTTAATGTAGGTCTCATTCTTTATAGGCACGGCCGGTGCAAACCCTTTGGCCCACAAATAGTCATATGGAAGGGGTTCGTGCAAGCCGTGTTATTATGGGAGCATCCCACTCCGAGTTCTGACGGTTAGCCTTTTTGAACACGTTTTTCACTATGCACCCACGAGAGGATGTAATTCGGGTGAAAAGTCGTTTAAAACGTAAACAAGACCTCACAAAGATCCGTTGAGCCCAGCTGAGGTTCCTACCTCGTTCGCCCCGCTGCCGAGTTTAGCGAGGCATCACATGTGCCGGGGCCCTTTGCTGCGATGCACAAAAACGCCCCGTGCTCACTGGTTGGGTTAGCATTATCGCACAACGCTCAAACTTTGCAAGAGTTTTTTTATGAACGTAACCTTTCAAAAAAAGATGCACTGTTCCGAAGGAAATACTTTTTATGCTGGCTAGTTGTACCCTCACAGTTGTACCACTTCTTCTATGAAGGAAATACCCACAGGAGACAAGATTTCGAGAAATAAAATTAGTCAGTTGCAAGACGGCTTAAACTGCCCCGAGGGTAGCAAATTCAATTGAATGGCTCTGAAAGACAGCTAGATTGTCTTAACCAATCGGGCACTGGGTGCAATCTGCAGCTAAAAGAGTAGGCTTCATCATAAAATTTGGTTTGCAACCGAAAATACAGGGTGGCCGCTCTGCCCCGTTGTTTTGCAAAGGTAGACTAGCCCGCTCGCAGACGGAGAGGGGACGGGAGAGGGGACGGGAGAGGCAGGTGCGGGCGGGCTAGTCTGCCTTTTTAAAAAAAAACAACGGGGCAGAGCGGCCAACCTGTACGTGTTTTGTACCTTTTAACAAGGTAGTTGTGGGGTGGTCACGTTTTACTTTTAC